CGGATGGCTATGGGGAAGGCGGCGGCCAGGCCCTTCTCCGGCTAGTCACATGCGTTCACGATGGTGCGTGCCCTGCGGATCTGGCGGGCTGGGTAGCGTGGCAAGGTGGGCCGTGCGACGGCTACCACGGAGCAGCTGTTCGCAGCGCCGGTGTGGCCTGGCTTCAGCCTGGAGGGAGGGGATCGGCCGACGGATGTTGACCCGAATGCGGATCTGGTGGCGGCCTACTCGACAACGCGACGGGAGACCGAGCGCGGCTGACCAAGGGACAACACGCGTGGGATTTAGGACTAGTGCCCGAATCTAACGGTCGCGGTGGCGGTTGCCATTGTATGGGCGACGGCAGCGGGTGGCGCGGCAGTGGGTGCTCCTAGTAGTGCTCATCGGGGTGGCGGCCCTTCTTCTTTGACGATGGCGGACTCCATGGTCGTGTGGCCGACTCAGAGGCTGGATCTTGAGGTGGGACGACCTTTCTGAGGCTGGTCATGATATCGGACGTCCCTTCCATCAAAATATTGGGTTCGATGGGGCTCGACAGGTGACACATGTGTCTCTTTCAGACACATTGGGCAATGGCTATCGCCGGCAGGTGAAGCCGCTAGTGGATGCGCCGCCGTCGAATGCTACGCACGACGTCTCATGTGGAGGCATCAAGTCAAGCCTGCTATCAGCAGGTGTGCATGGTGGCTCTGGTGAAGTTGTCATGTTTATCCTGTTAATGCTGGATCAAAGGTGGTGTGATAGTGGCGGGAGGCAGGTGGTATGGGACATCGTTGTCTTCCGATGTCTTCTCCAGAGGTATCCGGTTATCGAGGCATTGGTTGTGGGATAAGGGATGATGGTACAATGACTTCAATGACGAGTTTATGCACTCCGGTGGAAACACAAGATCTCTAACCAGGCTATGTCAACGTGCGCCTGCGTCGTGACCTTGCTAAAGGTGGTGGATTAAAGCCTGGCTTTGGGGATGAGAATCCGGAGTTCAACCTTGTGTTGGACCCGCCATCATCGGCGCACGTACGGTGATTACTTCTTGAAGGCATAGCTTAGGAGTTGTGTGTTTTTCATTTTGATGTCGTCTTATAACGTAGAGAGAATTACTGTCGCCAGGCATGCGGCATCAAGTTTTCTTTTCGCTTTATTCTGGGCCTTGGTTGGCTGCTAAATTTTGCATTCTTAATAATATATAACTGCATGCATCGTCCTGGTGTAGAGGCCAGGGGTTATCCTTCTTTCAAAAAAAAATTTGTTTGAAATGACACTTGATAAATGAAATTAATTACAATAACATGCATATGTACTCCCTCTGTAAAGAAATATAAGAGCGTTCAGACGGAGGGAGTACCTATTTATATAGTTCGAGGTATGATTGCTCCATTTGTAGTTGGAGCGTTTTTATCCCGTAGCAAGAAAGTGTTCTTTTTTTGCTACACTATAGTAAACTAACAGGTGGTAGTTGTGAGAGCTACTATTGGTTATATAAGACCCAACAACAGGCAACGAGAGCGGCGATGTAGCTCACGAGCTCGCCTGCTCCCGCTAGGCGTACGAATCGAATAAGGACGTGTGGTGCGGTGCAATGAATGCGAGCATAGAGGCTAGCAGTGGGCTACGTACAGTGTAACAGTGGTAAACGCTCACGCGCCGTTTGATATGACGATGCCGTCATGGCACAGCGTGCACATGTACCCACTGTACAAGACGCCGACTGTTTAAACCGATCTCTGCACCACTCATTAAAACGTGTGGCTCAGTCACCATGACGTTAGCTCTTTGGTCAGCGTCTTGACTTTTAACTCCTTGAATCATTACAGTCAACTAGCAGAAGTGATAGGACAGAGTCCAAGCATTCATGGTGCAACCAGCGAAATATGATTCGGCCACACTGCAAAAAAGGATCCATGTAAAAATAGTACTAATATTTATGGCCCGTGGAAAGTCAAACATTTTATTGCATGTAGTATCACGTCGTTGAATGCCGACAGGTTGTGAAAAATGGAATATCTAAAAACAAGTTTGGTGAGAAGCTATTAGCTGAAAATGTGACTAATGGTAGGTTAAAAAATAGAACAAGTGTGGCAAGCATTGTGAAAATATTTTTTAGATGTTTCGAAACATTTTCTTGAATTTTCAACAATTTTGAAATCCGACTATTCATAAAGCAAAAAAACACATTTTAAAATTCCAAACATTTTTTTGCGAAAATGTGAATAATTTTAGGAATTATGAACATTTTATGAAAAACAAAAACAAAATTTTAAAACGTGAATCAATTTTAAATCCCTAAACATTTTCTAAAGTGCTAACGCTTCTAAAAAACAAGAAATTTCAGATGAAAAAGTTTGAAACCTAAACAAAATTTTAAGTGCTAACAAATTTCAAAATTTGTTCCCATTCTTAAGATTTCCAGAAAGTGCTCGCACATTAACATTTTGTTCATGTTTCAAAATTTGTTCCCATTTTTTCAAAAAAAAAGTTTATGTTTAAAAAATTTGAGTTCTGAAAATTTGTTCGCACTTTAACATTTTTTCAGGTTTCAAAATTTGTTCCCATTTTTTCAGAAAAAGTTATGGTTAAAAAAATCGAGTTCTGGAAATTCGTTCCCATTTTAAAATTTTGTTCAGGTTTCAAAATGTGTGCCCGTTTTTTCACAAAAATGTTTGTGTTTCACATATGTTCGTGTTTGAAAAAATTGTTCGCACATTAAAACTTGTTCTGGTTTCAAAATATGTTCGTGTTCTCAAAAAAAAGTACCTTTTAAAAAAGCGTTCACACTTCAAAACTGTTTGCAGATTTCCCAAATGGTCCCGGTTTTCAAAACTTCTTTGTGTTTCTTATGTTCTGAAAAATGTCAAAATGTTTGATTTTTTGCTTTTAGTATTTTAAAATTATTTAAAATTTTCAAAAAAAATTCAATAATGTTTTCAAATCTCGAGGCTGCAGTATATGATTAAATATTGTCGCGCTTCTCATTTGTCAGCAACAGTCGTTAGTTAGAGAGGCTCACAGCAGTGGGTCAGCGGCGCTAGGTTGCAAGTTCGATTCTGTGTGAGTATCACATTTGTTATTTTTAAATGTCCTATTACGAAAAATAAAAGATGTTTCGCGTCTGGGCGTAGATCGACCTGTTGTATCAACAATCCCTTTGAGAAGGTGTTCAAGGTTTAAAATAGACCGGGATCAAAGAGTTTGATGTGTTGACTTAAGTGATTGAAAGTTCAGTATTCGGTTTACGTTTACCAGTTCAAGGTTTGTTTTGGACTTTTTTTCCGTGGACAAGATTTCCTAGCAATAACAAACAATCTAACACAAATATTCCTTACTCCTTGTCTCTGATGTGATATGGACGCACAATCAACCGATGAACACACTTCCCCTCTCAATGATGTCAAAAAAAAATACCCTTGTCTCTCAAACACGGTAGTATGAGTAGTACTCACGATTTTATCGGTCACTCATACTAAGTTTTAAGAGTTAAAAATTAACAATTTTTTTTTCAAAATTTGTCAAAAGATACTCAAAATGGATCTTACTTGAAAGCCCTCATCACGAAAAGCATGAATATGAAAACAAAACTTAATTTGAACTTTTTATTCAAAACATATAATAGTTTAAAATTTTAAAACAAAAGAAAAAACATGTGTGAGGGACTCGGCCCTCGCACCTACGTGTCCCAAATCCTCTCACATTTTTTTCAGCAAGCTAACATATGCAAAAAAAATGCAATTGTATAGAAGTTCCCTTTTCTTGCAAATAACTATATAGAAGTTGGACCGGAATCACGTTCCTTCTGTTATAAGTTAGCAATTTTGATTATTCACAACCAAGGTGAACACTACAACCCAAGCAATAATAAAACATATTTACGGCTCAGCCACTTCTCGAAATAGGCCCACGCCCCACTTTATATATGAAGCATAAATCACAATACACTTTGCATCATGTCTTCAAGAACTTTGTCGACACTCATGTTTGCAACTACCATCAACTTTCATGTACCCTCAAATTCCAGACATATGGTTTAACAACAAATATGATTAGCTTAATAATACAACATCACTAAAACTATATGTGTCATTATTATTATTTTTGGAAATCTATGGAACATTGGAACTTGCCAATCAGCAATCACAACAGTGCTAGGTAAGTTGGTGGATTAGCGCAAATGAATATCTCTCTGTTATGTTCATCTTTGAACACCCCAAATGCCCCCGCCTCATTATTTTGGCTTTCGAATTTAAAACTTTTATATTATTTGAACCAAAATTTAAATTAAGTTTCATTTTCAGATTCATATTGCTTGTGACAAGGGCTTTGAAATAAGATCCATTTAATTTTTATATATGTTTTGACGATTTTCTGCAAAAAAAATGTTAATTTTCAATCGTTGAAACTTAGTGCGAGCGAACAATAAAATCGCAAGTTTCAAAAACACGAACATTGAAATCTTAATGTTAGTGCGAGCGAACAATAAAATCGTAACATTTCAAAAACTATGAACGTCATAACTGTAAGTTTTAGATACTTATAACTTTTTTGAGTTGAGACACTTAAAAATTCGTGTGCCAAAATTTGGGGTCCATAAAATCGCCAGTGTGGTGACCCTAAAAAAAATCGGCAGCGTGGCTGTCTTGTGGTGTTAAATAAAAAGCGTTGCCATCTTGCTAAAAAAATCAATGTTTGTGGTGGACGTCCGACCGACCACCATACCAGCGAGGGGGTGCTGCCGTGCACGCGTCCAACATTATGCACATGTGAGTACAGGTCGTAGACGCCGTCTCTGCTGCGTAGACGTCCGTCGCCTCTTCCGTTCGTTACTCGCATTAAACAAGCCGCCGTACACGTCCTGACATATACCATCCGGCCAACATCCCGAAACGAAGGAACGACTCACGATTCCGTGAGTAGGCGAGCCCGTCCACGCCCATGAGTTTTCGCCAACAATGATTACTAGTATAAAATTATAGTCAATATAGTGGTCACGTACCACGCTTCAATGGCCACGGTGGGAGTTGTAAGGGCCACCGGTGTCACGTACCATGCTGCAATGGCCATGGTGGAAGCTTTCAGTGCCATCGTTGATATATGCTCGTCCCTGCAGTACTTTTCGTTATCCAAGATCTGGTCAAGTGCTGTTCTAATTCTTTTGATTTGACTGGCCAACTCGCTTCGATTTGCCATCCGAGAAAAGACGTCAACAAAGTATCTCATCGGTGTTTTCTGGCTTTCATAACCGCAGCTTCTTGAGGTAACCTGCTAATAATGACGGAAAAAGACATGCATGAGTAACAAATCATGCTAGACCAGTATATGGTGTAAAAATTGAAACCTGCTAGCTATCTGTATATCTCTTAAAGAGGTAGGGTAACCATTGGCTTTGTCTTTGTCATGTCTAGAATCAATTAATACTCTAACACATATATATGAGTGATATGTCTCAAACGTATCTATATATTTTGTATGATTCATTTTACTTTGCTATTACTTCTACACACTTTTGGTCCTAAGGTTTTTTAATCATTTTATTGGACTAACATCTTAATCAAGTGCCCAGTGTAAGTTCATGTTTTTTGCAATTTTTGCAATTTCAGGAAATCGCTATATAAAACGTCCCAGAGCATGTAAAAAAAGAAGAGCGGTTTTTGTGCTAGAAAAAGATTGGGGCGACAAGGCTCTTCCATGGTGGGCCCCACAAGCCATAGACTCCCACCTTAAAAGGGCGCCTAGGCCCTGTGAGCACCCCTTGGATGGCTCAGGTGCCCGGTAGTATTTATGTACGGGAAAACCCTACCCCAATGTATCATGCATTTTTTTGCCACCGCCATTCTGGTACTCTATCGGAGAGGAATTCATCTCCATCGTCACCAACATCGATCCTCGTGATCCAAGATGATTTGTGAGTAGTCCAACCCTAAACTACGGGTTCATGACAATAGTAAAGATGTAATCTCTTCCCTTTTGATGCTCAATACAATAGTCATATGAGCTGCCCTACATGATTATGGTTTATCAGATGTAATTTTTTGTTGTGATGTAGATCATGTGATGAACTATTTTTTATGTTCGGATTCATGGATGAATTTATGTTTAATCTTCAGATGTATATTTCTCGGTGATTGCTTTTTTACCCCTTGGCCAGTTTAGATCGTAATCAATGGTGGGAGAGGTGTGGATTAGTTGGGTTTAATATTGCATGTAAACTACCGCAGTGAAAGAAAATGAGGAAGGCATGTATTGAATTTTTACCACTAAGAGTAAAAGTTTGGAGGATTCGGTTGAGTACCATAAATAACAGTATTTCATCTTTCTTAAAACAATTACCTGTATTTACACTTCAATTTTAGGTGGTGCAGATGGATCTTGATCTATGACAGGGCTATCTAGCTATAAGATGCAGAGGGTATCTCGGTCTTATATTATCTGGACATACTACCTATGTAGAATCAATACATCCATATGTTTGGCATGAGTATGAAATGTTTCATTGTGCACTTTTTCACATGATTATGTTACTTACTACACTTTTTTGTATTGGGGATATGCACTTCGTGAGCCTATGAATCCCGGTCCATTTTTAGCATAAGAATCTCCTTCCAACAACTTTTAAACACACTTTTGTTTTATTACAAAATACAAAAATATTGCCTGCATCATTATGTTTTAGTTACCTTGTGCAACTAGCAAGACTAGTAAGGTTGACACGCTTGTTAGTTTAGTTGGAGACACAAGTGAATTTTCAATTATGTTGCAAAACATAACCATTGTTGCAAAAGCGCAGTTGGCTCATCAGATTGATACATTGGTTTCTCACTAAGGGGAAAATTTTCTACGTGCTACAAACTCTTTCACTAGGGATCCCAACAAATCTACCTTAGGTTTGGTAGCAACAATGAGCCACTAACTCGTTCCAATTATCTTCATTGTATACGAGAAGTTAGCATGAAATGCAACAATCTACCCACTACTTCACAAAGTGCTATATTAGGCAGGATTTTGAGACAAACAAAAACTGCTCATCATGAAACGGTCTATTAGAGGTAGGGGTTCATGGGTCTCTGTCAATGAAAGCTTAGCGCAGAAAGGACCACCTCGGAAATGTTGGCATTGGGGGAGAGCCTCCTAGTACAATGCCGAGTGTGTTCTGTTTCCCCTCAAGCCACCTGGATTCAAATCTCCCCACCTACCTAATAACGAAAGTTAAGGGAGGGAACTTCCCCCCTTAGCCTTGTTTTTAAAGAAATCTGGGCATTCCATGGCAGAAATTAATAGAGGTCTATCTCAGAAATAATCATAAGAGGGCCACAAGGAAGGCCTATATCGCATAGTTCATCTTGTTTTGAGATGGTCCACTATCCGACCCGTCTTGGGAACTTATATGGTCATTATATAAGTCCTGACGGTTGATTCAAAAAGAATGTAAAAACCCTAACCCGTAGTGACTTCATATGCCTCGGCTCTCCTCCATCCCAAACGATACATTGCGCAGTTCCTCTCCTCCTTCCATTACCTCTCTCCTCTCCTCATGCATCCTCTCACCTTCTTCTCCAATGGTGACGCACTGCGATTGGGCGACCCCATGACTCTTAGGTGGCGGTGCATCGCAGGATAAGAGGACGACGTGTCGTGCACATATCGGGCTTCCTAATTGCGCCATCACATTTGGTGGCCGCATGACTTCTCGAGTCTGAATCGGCCAGAGTAGTCGTTAGGGTTGGATGGCCGAGAGAATGATACCCAATTCCACGACCAGTCCCTGACCTGAGTTAGATCCATTTGTAGATACAACTATTTGTTCAATTGTCCTTTGTGTCGATGACACACTAGCTCGGGTTCGGATATTTGCATGTGTTTGAATGGTTACATATGTTTGAGTGAGTACCTAGGGTTAGATAATTATTGCCTCCATTGCTAAGATTAATCTTGCTGAATATAGTTGATACTTATAGTTGCTAAATATATTTGTTATGAATTAGTTTTCTTAATAAACTTGTTAATTGTAATTGAACTAGCTAAATAATTATTTTGAAATTTGATAGCTTTAAATTTGATACATTAATAAATAATTATAGATGCTACAAGTGTGTATATACAGAAAAAGCTAAAATTATTCTTGCTAAATAAAGTTGTTACTTATTTTGCTATCATATACTATTTATCAGATAATTATAGTTACAAATACTTATAGTTAGTACATAATAGTTTAGTTGCCATTTATAGTTAATTATGTTGATTAAATATGTGCATGTACTTGTTTATTCGCACACGAAAGAAGAATAATCTCCGTTTATGTGTACCATAGGTGGGTCTATTTCTTTGACATTGTAGAAAAAGGAATTATGATTGTAGTGGATGTCTTCTGTAATGAGGTTGTCTAAATGGAGAGGAGAAGATCCATAGATAGCACGATAATCTCACAATTTCATGGCATATTTGTAAACTTGGTTTCTAATTTGATTTAATATATTTTGCCATAATACCATATTTTTGCTGACAATTACTCAGCCTACCAACCAAACACCCCCGCGGAAGAACAAATTGCCGAGGCAGGCAAAATGAAAAATGCGACTCAGAAGGACATCGATCCGAGATGGGTTTTACGCCGTAAGTTGGCATTGAAAATGGGCCAATCAGAGTCAGGTTATTTGCCCGCAGCGAAAAGGCGATACCAATCCACAACCGCAAAGTGCGGGAGTAACAAATCAACGAGTACTCGTTGCGGGAGCACCGCAAGGGTCACTTTTGGTGGGCCTGTGAGCGTGCCACTTGGCATGCTCTCAGCTGCCGCCACATGTCGTGTGCCAGGTGCTCCCTCCAGATTTTTTTTCTATACGTCTTTTCGGGCTCTAAATGGTTTTTTTTTGGCTTTTCACTATTTGCCAGGTTTTCACTAGGTTTTGAAAGAAAATGCGCTAAAAATCGCGCTTTTTTCTTACTTCCGCTAGACACACATATTTACTTCTCGTAGAAACACAGATTTGCTCCCGCGAGAGACACTGTATCTCAAGATATAGAATTACTTCTCGTAAGAGACATATTTGCTTTCGTGTTTTTTTATTTTTCAAAAAGATAATTTCTTGGAAAAGGAAAGAAACACATTTTCTTTTTTAGGCTATCGGGAGAAGCACTGATTTACTTCTCATGGAGTCACAAATTTGCTTTGGCAAGAGGCACAGTTGTGCTTCTTGAAAAAGGAAAAAAATGTGTTTTCTTCTTTTTCCATGAGAGGCATAAATTTACTTCTCATGGAGACACAAATTTGCTTTCATGAGGTACCCCTCTCTGAAAAAATCACGTGTTTTTTCTTCTGTGAGAAGCACATATTTACTTCTTGTGGAGCCACATATTTGCTTCCGCGAGAGGCACGAAAAAAAAAACATTTTTTTGCGAAAGGTACATATTTGCGTCTCGTCAAGGTACATATTCGCTTTCAAGGGAGGCATAGCTGTGCCTCTTTCAAAAAAATAATTTTGTGGAAACCTATCAACATGGGATCTAGTTCCAAAAATCTCGACGCAAGAAATCTAAAGATGAAAACGGTTCAGGATTTGGACGCACGGTTAAAGAAAAAATTCAGAATTATTTCTTACATATTTGCTGTTCAGGTTGAGCCAAGCTCTAGAGCTAGATCTTGCATGCCTGATCCTGTTTCGATGCACGCCCAAAATAATCAGGGGTGGGGATCGGAGGCACCTGGTGGTGGAAGATCAAGTCATTGAGGGTGTCCTCGGCGTCGAAGGCAATGTCGCGCATCGGGCGCAGGCAGACAAGGCTCAGCCCGTCGACAGGGATGCCCACCCGGCGTTTCCGGTCAGCGTCACGGAGGAATGCCTGCAGCCACTGGAGCCGGTCACGCAGCAGCGGCGTGTCGTCACCAATCCGGCGCAGTTCCTCGGCCTCGTGGGCGGCAAGTTTGGAGAGCACCGCCATGACCGCGCTCTCCACTGCCATGGATTATAGCTAGCTAATACCCCTAGCTGAGTTCTACGAAATGAGCCTGTAAGAGTCTATTAGTACATATGAAGGGCTTAATTAGCCAGTACTCCTACTTGTTGGGCTCGTTGACCTAACTACCTAGTAGTAGTTAGTCATGTTCGATGGATCAACCACCAGACAGCTGCAGATGCTAGTCTAGTTAGTTAGCCTCTTGAGCTTACCAGTTGGTTTGTATACTGGACAAAAGGTGCCACTGGTTAGAGGGAGCATCTATGTTGTTATTTAACTATAGTTTACCTAGAGGGTGGTTGAGCATGGCAGCCAGCCGGCCCATGTGGATGTGGTTGACATTACATTGTATGTATATATATAGATTCGCATCTTGACATATACTAGTAAAAGAAATTGCGTGGAAAAATTTCTGGTCTATTCATCAACTGTCAAGATAATATAAAGAATATCAGAAGTAAAAAATACATCCAGGTCCGTAGACATCCTAGTGATGACTACAAGCACTGAGCGAGCTACTATAGTCAGAAAGTTATCGTATTAAGGCCCCATAGGACCGGCGCACGAGAACAACAACCACGGCTGATGAAGAGAAGTGTAGATCGGAAGGATCCATTGTTAGAATAAATCCGAGGCATATCGTCGATCATCCGAGGACCAAGCAATCACACGAGCACGACACCGAGATTTGTTAACGAGGTTCACCGATATGGCTACATCCCCGGGGCCTGACTACGGGCGCTCCTCCCCGTGACACCGTCACAATACCGCACACCGGCCACCCGGGAGCCGGCATATGCCGCCGGCTTCCCCTTGCGCGTCTGTGCTATTATGTTGGCATAGGTTACATCGTGTGTCTACCCCCGCTATATATGAGAGGCCTAGGATACAAGTGTCCTACTAGGACACGACTCCACATCTTATGTAAACACAATACAACTCATAGTCCAACTGTAACCTACCTTGTACTCTATATTCGACACAACTCTAACAAACTCCACCTTGGCGAATATTCTCCACCACCTTGAATTCGTCAATGCGTCAAACTTCCATGTACATTGGACTTGAGCTTATCCCATGAGCACCGCTGCTACTCCAATAACTCCATGTGACTCCACCTGCAACTTATAGTCCCTTCTTTTCTTGACCACAGTCAACTCTCGAGCAAAATTAAGTTCCTTGTTACTCAAATTTGTACTCCCAACTTCCAGAGTATCCGTCAACGACATGACACACTGATTATTGACCTGCTGAAAGTGAACAACTCACATATTGGGTGTCACACATAAGAGTTACCTGAACTCAACATCACCACTCCTTTCTTGACCGTCTGTCTGAAATTTGAAGAAATTTCACCATTGCTTGTAATCATCCCGAATCAAATTAGCAGTTGTCTCATCACATGTATGACTACCAGAGCCCTGGTCCGTCTCCATGCACCATGCATACCGCACGCCTCGCCGCTATTACCGCGTCGAGCCTCCGCTATCCCGGTCGAGTCTCAAGGGTCGTGAACCCGCACCACTCAACCCCGCTCCAGAGTACCATCGGTCATCGTCGACCGATGACGAGTTTCACGCTTCCATCAAACCACCGGGCTCCAGTCTGAACTGCGTGTTACTCGCTTTTTTCCGTTGAATAGGCTTTGACTCTCTATGCACTTACGCCGTAGCCCCTCAATCCAGCTCCACCTTCAACATGACTCCATGGCAGATGATCGGTCCACCCCGCGCCCCGTCGACTTCAAGCTCTCATGTGCACCGTCTTGAATCAACCCCGCGCCATAGTCTTGTCGAAGCCACACAAGCCCTCAGGCCCGTGCCACGTGTTTCCACGCGCCCAAAAGTCGGTCACCATCAGCATCACGCTCCTACGTCGTCGTCGGCGATCCCACCACCGTCTTCTGTACCAACCGACTTGCGTCGATCCGTCAGACTGCCTAGTCAGACCCAGCCAAACTCGTTCGACTCTATGACACGCTCAAGGCTCCCAAATCGTCTTCCGCGAATTTTCATCCATCTTGATAATTCCATCTTAGCTGAATTGACTTCCCGCAATGCCTTCAAGCATCCCTGTTCTGCCAACAAATCTTTCGTCCTTGTCTGCCTTAACCCAAGGTTTTTAGTTTCGATAAACTTCTCCACCTCAAACCCGATGCCCAATGACGTCGTGATTCTTTGTATGGCTGACCTTGTGAAAAATTATCTGTGTTTTCCACGTGATGCCCCAAGTATACGAACGCCGCGTACTACTAATAATTCCAACTAGTTGGAATTCACGTGAAATTTGGCTCCCTGTCTTGGCTCAACCTCCCGATGCTAGCTATTTGCTTTGTCATACCCTTGCACTATGGATCCGTATCAATGGATGCCTTCTCCGCCGATTGGGTCTGCCATGTGTCGATTTTTTTTGTCAAACAAAATCTCCGGTTTCTGCTTTTTTCTGCTGTACGCGACCGGCCGACTCGCCGCTTTGATCCGTGACTCGCGGCATGCATCCTCGCGGTTTCCGCCAGCTGGGTTGCTGCCCACGCACGCGCCGTTGGGGCTCCGCAGCCAGCGCCCGATCGACCTGCTGCCCTGCCTGCCCGTGCGCAACGCGTCGCTGCTGCTTGCTGTACGCTCGCCCGATCGACCTACGCGAGATCTTTCGCCGCACGTCTAGCCTGCTTGCAAGTCTGATTCAATCTCCGCGAGTTGCCGTGATTGCCTATCGCCTTGACGTCTTCCGATCGAATCACAACCGTGCTCATCACGATATCCATCGAAACATCAAATCTTGCTCTAGATCAACGTATGCACTGCCTTATCGAACCTTGATCATGATACCACTTGTTAGAATAAATCTGAGGCATACCGTCGATCATCCGAGGACCAAGCAATCACACGAGCACGACACCGAGATTTGTTAACGAGGTTCACCGATATGGCTACATCCCGGAGCCTGACTACGGGCGCTCCTCCCCGTGACACCGTCACAATACCGCACATCGGCCACCCGGGCGCCGGCATACGCCGCCAGCTCCCCCTTGCACTCCTGTGCTATTATGTTGGCATAGGTTACATCGTGTGTCTACCCCCGCTATATATGAAAGGCCTAGGATACAAGTGTCCTACTAGGACACGACTCCACATCCTATGTAAACACAATACAACTCATAGTTCAACTGTAACCTACCTTGTACACTATATTCGACACAACTCTAACATCCAACCTGTAGACACGCGAACACAGACGTAACGAACGTTGGATCCAACCTGTAGACAAGTGAAGATTTGTTGCTGCAGAATTTTGTTATCGGGTCTGACTCCAAGAAGGTGGTCGATGACATCCAGAGAGCAAGCCGTGGACACTAGTAGAAAAACACCTAATAGTCCCGGTTCGTAAGGGCCTTTAGTCCCGGTTCATGAACCGGGACTAATGAGCCGTTACTAATACCTCCACCCATTAGTCCCGGTTCAAACCAGAACCGGGACCAATGTGCCTCCACGTGGCCCTGTGCGCCGAGCCCAGTCAGGTGGCCTTTGGTCCCGGTTGGTGGCTCCAACCGGGACCAAAAGGCATCCACGTGTCAGCATTCCATTGGCTGGGGTTTTTGTTTTTTTTTTTGAAAGGAGGGGAGGTTGGGGGTTTTGGGGGGTTAATTTAGGTGTTTCATATATTGTGTTAGCTAGCTAATTAATAGAGAGAAGTGTCCTCTCTTATGTCCGTGCTTGGTCGACGCTACGTACTATATATACATAAGTGATCGAGAGAACCATTCAGTACAGAAGTTCGTCATGCATACCGAGAGAAGTGATCGATCGACCTCTCCTTCTCCGAGAGATTGGTCGAACAACAAGTTTTCGTATCATGTATCCGACGCTACTGGCTACATACATGTATAATATGTATAAGATCTCTTAATTACAAACCCCTAGCATTTGAAATCAATTTCCACATGGTATTCTCCGGCTTTATTGATGACGTGGTCAAGAAAGAATCCCGCCAATTCCTCTTGAATTGCTTTCATGCGATCTGGTTCTAGGAGTTCATTCCGCATCTGCCACGTCTAATTTGAAGAAGGGGGTTAATTAATACATATATATGAATGAAACTCAACAGAAATGATGGTGTAATAAAATGAAATTGTGAATATTATTGCTTACGCACTTCATATTGTCTTTGAGAGTAGCCCCGCTTGTTTTTCAAAGTCGCGGTATGGATGAACTCGCACACGTAGTATCCACAGAAATCATTCCCTTCCTCTTGCCACAAGCACTTTACAAGAAATAGAGGTCAATCAAACTGATAATTAAGCATTATAAGTGGCATTGATGAAAGTATAGCTATAAAATCAACGGGAGATGCGGGCAACTAGCTAGCCAGTAGTACTTACTTTCGGCCATTTATATGTCAGCTCCTTCGGCAGTCCCGGAGCTTCTGCGGTGAACTGTTTCCAAACCCTGCAAGACAAAGAAAATTATTATTATTACTTGAGATATCAGGAAATGAACAAAAAGTTGCCGATATGGTGCGATAATGATCGATTGAACTTACTTGCTGAGCATTTCAGTGATGTCCGCATAGGATTTGGGATCTTTCCGTCTCGAGTCTAAGACGGTTACTAGTCCACGCTCAAGCTTAATCTCCAGAAGAATATAGTGGTACCTGCGCACGCATGCATAACTCATCAATTACATTACTATAAGCTCGCTTGAGTAATAAGGGAAACCGAATATGCACACGACAGTAACACTCACGGGCCGTTGTAAGGAAAGAGTATGGTATCTTTGTTTTGATTTTTAATCAACGATTGTAGCAAGTTGTCCTCGGCCTCTTTGACGTTCTTTTCAACCATAAATACATCTATGATATTTGTGTTAATGAACCCAATATCATAAATTTCTTGTTTTTTGCACTCGACGATCTTCAATCTGCATAATATATATATTGAGGATAATTAATTATAAATACATGCAATGAAAGAGCCGAGCTATATATAGAGACTTAATGATAGAAATAGT